ATCATTCCCGACGCCAAATTAACAGTTTCCATAATTCCCCATTACGCTCATGTATATGACATTAAGTGCATTGCGGATTACATCATTGTATAACCGACAACCGTGCAGAGGTTTACTTAACCCTGTTAGTGGCAGGGGGGGGGGTTATCCACCCCTCAGGTTTTTCGAGAATATCTCCGAAACTGCTGAAGCTACGATGCTGAAATTTTCTGACTTTTCCTAAAACTAAATTGGGCACATTCTCTGAAAATTTCAAGTTCATAACCTTACCAGGGGCGGCTCCAGAGCACTGGGAATTGGGGGTCCTATTCGTGAAGCGAGTCATTTGGGCGAAGATCACGATGCTGCACCAGTTTTACGAACAGTGAATGAAAGGTATCATGTGATAACATATACAGTTATTGTGCATCCTCTTTTGACACATTTTTGCTATAATAGGCGGATCCAGGCGTCCAAAAAGGGGGGTTATGTTTTACCTCCCAACATAGGTGCCCTGACACCGCCTATGCATGACCAATACAATTGTAGTCGTTCTCTCATAAGAAAATTGTAACATAACAAGACCATTACCACCCTTTTTAGAAACAGTACCAACAAAAACCTTATTTACTATACTTTTTGTGTACCCCCAATCTCAATGATCTGTATCCGCCTATGATTTTTGAAAATGCATATTTTTAGGATCCATGTGAATTCCTGGTTCATTCTCTATCGATCGGCAAAAGTTGCGTTAAGATTGGTTCAGAAACCTGGCCGTGATAAACAGTCTAAAATGTATCTGCAATTTCCCGTTTTTACCCCCCTCTACCCCCCCCCCCCTATTGATATTTTTAATTTTTATTTTTTAGAAATGTAGATCACGTTGAACGAAATCGAATGCCGTTTGAATTTTGAAAATCGGCCCGTTAGATCTCGAGATATCAAGGGGGGGGGGGTCGTAAACAGCCCCCCCCTGCCACTAATAGGGGGTAGCCAGGAGCCTGCCACTAATAGGGTTAACCCTCGCCCGTAAACGGCGATCTGCCACCTTCGCCCATGCAGGGGGGGGGTTGGTGCGACCCCCCCCCCCCCTTGGCGTTTGAAAACGGAGCGTCGTAGAGCTTAGCGGAAAAGACCAACGGATTGCTCTCGCCGAGATCTCGCGATTGGTGGTATATTTTTTGGTCCTAGGTTAACATTTGACCTACTTTTGACCGGTCAAAGGTCAAATTTTCGGAAAAATAGACTTTTTTCAACTTTCGGCGGCGATTGCGGCAAAACGGTGGGAGATATCGACTTGAAACCTTCACTATCGTGTTCCTTGATCAATTCTCTATCGTTTGGTATGTATTTCGTTTCCCTAGCTCTAAAAATGGCGCGTTGGGAGCGCCGGAAGTCGGCAAGGTCACAGTCGGCGGCAGAAATTCGAAAAATCAAAATTTAAATTTTTGAAACCTGATTGTATTTTTGGATTTGGGAGGTCCATTTGCTCCCTATAGACGCTAATACTGCTGCATATTCCCATTGAGGTGACAAGAATTAGCAAAATAGTGGTTCGGGCGCTTTTCAAAAATAGTACCGGACGCTGTTCCTCTTGTGACGTCATAGCTCCGTGACCTGACCTGACCCGGTCAAGTTTCTTATACCATATGATAGCCAATACTTGCCCCAACATGCATGGGAAGTTTCATCGCGATCCATCAACCGATCCCCGTACCACCGGCAGGAAACCTCGGGCGTTGGCACTCAGTTTGTGAAAATCCGGCCGGAGGCTGTTCCATTTGTGACGTCATAACTCCGTGACCTGACATGACCCGGTCAAATTTTTTTTATCAAAAGATGCGCAAGGTTTGCCCCATAAGGTACCCAAAATTTGGCGGCGCTGCGCGCCGCCGTTTTTGCACTATATCCGAAAAACCTCAGGGGGGGTTGCACCAACCCCCCCCCCTACATGGGCGAGGGTTAAGACGTCATAGTTAAGTGACCTGACCTGAAAACGTGGTTGATGTCAAGTGATCCGGCTTGAATGAAATGTAAGGCATGTGAAATGTCAGCCTTCTATCATCAGTGTGCTTTGAGCTACCGCAAAAAAATACATGGTGGCGGCATCCACCCCTTCTTCTCGGCCGGCGAGGGTTAAACCTCGCTTCGAATTATTGCAGATAATGATGCGACCGAAAACAAAGCATTTATCTGTGTCTAGAACGGCCCCTGACTTGTTGGACAAGATCCCCAATCTTAATTCGCTAGATGGGAATAAAATACTCGGTATGTGATACATATAGTTATACCTCTCGATTTGCCCTCGCGCTAAGTCTATTCTAATCATCACTGTCGTTTTTTTATCCGAGGTGATGTCGCCGCTAAACGAGTTGTGTTGTTTGCTTGTTTGCGTTGAATGGCCATTACGGATTATTGAAGGATTATGATAAAATAGGAATGAGGCAAGGGAGGATATGCACTGCAGGTGTTTGATTTAGATCACAAAGGCATCATTTCCGGCATCGTGCAGAGTCATTATCTTCCCCTCCTCTGCACTGCGGCATCTCTGCGCCCCACACACGGCGTCCCCACTCCTCGGCCGGCCGCCGCCAACTGACCCACTCGCCGGGCGCCGCGACCTGACCCGTGTCGCTGACGCGGCCTGCGCAATAGAGTCGGGGCTGGAATCCGGGGGTTCGGCCGGCCGGCCGCCTCTGGAGCGGGGGACTTTTTTAGTAGACCTACTGTACACCACATGCACTCCCCCACTGTCGCTGACTGTTGCAAATTGTCGATAACTGTCCCCAACTGTCGCCAACTGTCGCTGACTGTCTATAGCTGTCGAGTGTCGCTGACTGTCTATAGCTGTCGCTAGCTGTCGCCAAGTGTCGCTGACTATCGCCGACTGTCTATAGCTGTCGCCAACTGTCCCCTTCTGTCCCCTACTGTCGCTAACTGCTGCCTGCTATCTATAACTGTCCCCTACTGTCCCCTACTGTCGCCAACTGTCACTGACTATCTACGAGTATAGCTGTTCCCTTTTGTCACCGACTGTCTATAATTGTCCCTGACTGTCGCTAACTGTCCCCTTCTGTCGCCTACTGTCGCCGATCGTCATGTGCCGTCGCGTGTCCCGTACACGCGGCGACGACTGTGTTACTTTCGCCGCCGATGCCCCACCAACAACATTCTCCGTCGGGCCGGCGGCGCCTCCCAAACCGGTCCGGAGGCATTCGCCCAACGCTCCACCCACCAATACATGCCCATGGCGGCAGTGCAAACGTGCACAGTGCACAGTGGACGGCGCACAGTGGGTAATGTGCTGTGGAATAGGGGTCAGAGTGCACAGTGGACGGTGGAGCATTCAAGGTAGAGCTTGGACACGGGATAGCATACTTTTCTTTAGACAGCGCACAGTGTAGGTATGGTACACAATACACAGTAAGCTATTGGCAATGCACACTGCAGAATGGATTAGACGGTGCACAATGGACAATCTTTTGCATTGTGCAGTAATTGAGGCAGTACAGAATAAACAATAAACCGTGGACGATATACAATACACAGTAAGCAGTTACAATGCACCATCAACCCTGAATAGTGCTTACCTAATGGACAGTTTGCATTGCAGATGGACTAGACATTACAGTTGACAATGCACGCGAAATGCGAATAGTTAAACAGTAATAGGTAGGGGAGAGTGGGGCACATTCGTGCAAAAAATGGATAAACCCATATATCTGTTCTTTGGTTAGTGCAATGGCAAAATTGTTGATTGTAGTATGGAAAGGAACTATTGCAGATAGTTTTCCTCTTTAAAAGTTATCCTCTAAAATTATTGCTTCCATTAGAAAAAATGACTTTTAATAACTCTGAACAATTGCACGAAACTGCCCCACCTATGGGGCACATTCGTTCAAGAGGTGGGGCACTTCCGTTCACCCTGCAAAGTTCGAGAAATTACCGGGCATTACCAGAAATTTACCAAAGGAAATTGGCAGGGGGTCATTTCACTTGATTCCTTTCGACAAGAATGCATTGCACAACATATGTAGAAAGAATGGGCTGGCCAACAAGAATGTGCAAACTGCCGGCCTCCGTGACCTCGCCAAGTTCGCGTGAATTGCTCGTCACGACGTCGCAAGCAGTCGAGACTGAGTCAGGCGAGCGTCATTAGAGAAACCTACTACAGATAAAGTCATAAATCGCAAAAACTAAAAAAAAAAATATGCACGAATGTGCCCCCAGGCAGTGCGTACACGAACCTGCCCCACAACGCTATTAGTAATATATTTCAAAATTTCTTTTTGAAAAAATGACACTTTTTCAACAAACAAGTTTGCAGCAGTTCCGTGAATAGAGTGAGCTTCTTCACCCCCAATTTTGAAAAGCTGAACCACATTTCCGAGTCAGGATCACGAAAATGGATAATATGAGAAAAGTTTGGAAAGCTCACGAATATTACAAATTTGCGTTTTTATCAAGCATGACAGCAGGTACAGTGTTGTCTTCTACGGTGAACGAAGGGCGGCAATGATAGACATATTTCCATAATTTACCTTGAGCTCGTGCAGTCACTCGTGTTCCCATAAACTGCTGAAAACGAATGTGCCCCATGCACGAATGTGCCCCACTCTCCCCTACTATAGCGAACATTTCCAATGCGTATAGTTGACACTAGATGGGCCACAATGCCAGCGGACACCGTTGCCCCAGAGTTCGGATTAACTAGGCCTGAGGATAAAGGAGAAGCAGTCTGGTCAAAACCAGAGATGATGAAAAAGTAATGATCAATCTTCAGGTTTTTTCCACCTGACATTTCCTGAACCAATGGTAAAATCTCGTTTACAAAGATAACCTACTCGGGTGCCAATATCAAAGAATGTTGATGCAATATAATATCCATCATGATACAAACGATCACTACCTCAGTCCTTTCAGCTTCCAGACAGCAGAATCGGCAAAAAGTAACCTTTTCACTCCTATTTCCATCGCTAGATGTCACTAGTTTAACACTATTTTTCCTGTTCTGCCGCCAGGTGTCTCCCCAGTCGACTGCCGAGCCGCCTGCAGTGATACAGAACGCCATGGCGACCAAGGACAAGAAACCCTTCAGCTACCTGCCCGTGGGAGGTTTCAGCGCCACGGGGCTCAGTTCTGAGCTGAGCATCTCAGAACAGCGACTAACCAAAGCTCAGCAGGAGGGAGAGAATGGAACGGACTCTTCCGCGGGTGTTGCTTCTACACCAGGCGGCGACACTCGCGTGGAAGCGGGAAGCGGAAGTGACATTGGAGTGGGAGTTTCTGCACCTGTAGGTGGCGCCCCTCCCCCTCCGCCCCCTCCCCCTCCCCCACCCCCAGCCTCCAGTGCCAGTGTCCGAAGCCAGCGTTCAGCTCCATGGGCTCAGAATCTATCCCGTCACCGCTGTACTGACGCATCACAACCTACAACCACGGCATCTTCAACAGCAAGTGCCCCCAAGGAGAAACCTACTCAGCGCTGGGGAGCTGCTCCAGTTCCGACAGAGGCGCAGCTTCAGACAGCTCTGAGGCAGACATCAGCCGGAGAGACTCTACGCAGGGAGGCTGCGGCTGCGGCTGCTGTTATTTTGGCACGGACTGCGGCCGAGGAAGCGACGCAGAAAGAGACGCAGAAAGAGACGCATAAAGAGACGACGACGGCGACTCGGATGGCTCCGGCAGCGGCATCATCGTCGCAGCCGACGCAGCCGATGGTGAAGGCGAAAGCAGCGACGCTGCAGCGTCGGGTAGGACCCGCGTCTTCCTCATTCGATGGGGAGATGAGAGCCGGAGGACTGTCACAGAGGAACAACACGCTTCCGAGGCAAATGAAGCTATCCAATCAGCATGACTCACAGGGACGTCAGGGAAAAATGACAGCGGCTGGACAGAAAAATGCCGCATCGAAGCAGACATCTCCCGTTTCTGCAACAACTCAACCCAGCTGGGCTGTGAATTCTGCTACCTCTCCGACAAACTCTCAGCAGAATGGCAGAGGCGGAAGGCAGTCGACCTCACCGTCCGCTGCTGCGCAGGTGGCGCCACCAGCTGCAGCGGTCACTGGACAGGTAGCGCAGTTATCGCAGCGCTGGCCGCCGGCCGCTGCGGGCCAGGCCAGCCGAACGTCGCCTCCAAAAGCGGATCAGGTTGTCCTGAACCAGACTGCTGTGAAGCAAACGAAACAGAAAAACGCCAGCCAAAATCAGCGAGGTGTGCAGAAGACTGAAGCCTCGTCAACTACAGCCAAACAGACCTCAGCTGTTCAACCCGCTTCGAGCCACGTAGCCGCTACCCAGGCACCCACGGGCCACGCAGCCACAAATGGCCACTCTGTACCCCACCAGGTCCCTCTCTCCCAGTCAGCTCTAGCCGCTCTGCAGGAGAACGCCGACCAGACAGCAGTGAAGATCGCCGCTCATCCTCCGTGGAGAGTCACCAAAGGCAGTGGTAGTGCTGCCTCGGGAGCACCGGCACCCGCTGCGGCTTCGAGCCAGGCTGTGGCTTCGGGCCAGACTTCGGCTTCGGCACGCGGTCAGCTTTACATCCCTCCCGTCTCAAAGCCAGTGTCGGCGGCAGAAGCGCTGGCCTCGCCTCCGCCACGCGCCTCGGCTGCGCCACCCTCCTGGCGGCAGGTGCGACCGGCAGGTCAGGCGGGGTCAGCGACAGTGACCTCGGCTCCCGCGGCGGGTCACATGGGAGGAACGCTGAGGTCTCAGACTAAGGCACGGCCGGCCGGCGGGCAGCAGCAGCAGCAGCAGCAGCAGCAGCAGCAGCAGCAGCAGCAACAGCAGCAAACTCCTATGGCTGTCATGGTAAGGACCAAGGACTAAATGACAGTGCTTATTTTCAGCTTGGTGTTCGCTTTTACATCTAAAATTTCAAGGGGCCGCCTTGTAAGGGCCCAATTAAGTCTCTTGCGTAAATATTGCGATCGTTGTTCATGAGTTTGATTGGATGCTTTATTGAATGGATTACGTGTGTTGTGAGCTAATGCGTTGCGTGTCATGAGAAACGAGTGGTTACTTCTCAGTCCTCAATAACTATCCCTGTTTTTTTTTTAATGTAAGTGCTGACTGATTTCTTTCATTACAAATTGGTGTCAAACATTGTTTAGTTTACACTTTCTTGCATCGATTGCATCCAGCTCGACCGTCTAAATATCCCCGTCGTAGGCACGGCGCACGCCACCCAACACACGCGGCCGTCACCCGAAGCTGAGTTTCCTTTCTCTGCCGACAGACGTCGCGTACAACTACAATCCCCCTCCAGATGAGAATGGGACCGGACGGAAAGCCCCAAATCAGCATCGGCGGACGTCCACTGAAGATCACTGACGAGGGTGTACAGTTCCCCGTGGAGTTGTTCTTCCCGCCAAACGGCGGACAGCAGAACGGGACCAGGTATAACTCGCGCACCTCCTAATACGTGCACGTGCGCACGTGCGAGTGTTTGGAGCCAGCAGGGGGAGGAGAGTGACTTTTTACAGCTGCAACGTCCTTTTTGAAAGTGACGTCACTGTAAATAAACTGCCATATAAACGCAGTGTGTGATGCGTGGTGCTATTACGTACCGGACCAATTAAACAGGTCTGGGACATGATGACGTCATAACCTGCTAGTGACGTCATCGGGCCTATACTGCTGCTTCCGCGAGACTGTAAAACCGGCTGTCTTCTGTGTGCGTGTGCTGACTTTACTTACCCGCTTCTCTTGTAACAGGCTCATGTACGAGTATACGTACGGTGTGTCAACCGGGTGGTCTACGTGACCTAATGACATTGTCAAAAACAAGTGACGTATTTCTGTGGCGTAGGATGACCTTTACAACATGGAAAAGTGGAAAACATGGAAAACATGTACAGACAGGTTTTATTTAACATGGAAAACATGGAAAACATATACAGACAGGTTTTATTTAATTCTACCTTTTCAGCGGTCCAATCATTACTGGAACATAGATCGTGGTAAAAATAATAAGTTATACGTCAAAAAAAGTTGTGCGGGGACACATTGCAATTGCACCGTTCATGAACAATGGGTAACTGACTTTGAATGACAACTCACGACAGGTGATGTCTGAAATGGCCTGCTTCTAAATGTTTTCTGTTACACACTGTGCCCTACAAGTTTTGCGTGATGGAATGTTCTAGGAGTAAATTTATGTCAAGCTGCTCCACTCACTACCTAGTACCTACATAGTTACTTCAGGTAGAAACATGTGGCTTTCTGTCTTTCATATAAGACCATGTAGAGACAATCAGAGTGCGTGATGTGCTAAAATGCTGAATTAGTAGTTAAGTGTGAGTAGTGTGACGTTTCTGAAGTTTTCTTCTACTGTTCCAAATTAAACGATCATACAGCTACTGGCGCTTTAAATTTGACCGCCAATCGCTGTTAGATTATTCTTCTTATCGTTTTACGATTGCAACACTGTATAAGAAAAGAGCGTATTGTGTATGTGTTTGGATGATCTAATTAAGCGTGCTATGAGGTGACTTTCATTTGATAGAATGTAGGGACCGCATCACAAGAGGAGTGCTGTGATTTTTCTGACCGAAATAAAGCGAACTTTTTCACCACGAGCGAATCCGTGAATTCGGTCATGATTTGTGTACATATTTGCATGTAACTGCCTGCGAGTGGTTTGTATCATTTACTTGGCTATGCTGGCGAGATATAGAGGATTCTTCATGGCTCCGAGTGGAAGATAAGGATATCTTTTCCAAGCGGGTTACTGAAAAACCGAGCGACGAAGGAGCGAGGTTTTTCTGTTACACGCGAGGAAAAGATATCCGATCTTCCACGAGTGAGCCATGAGGAATCCTATATCTTTCTATGTTGAGGTTTATTCATAATTATTTAAATATCAAATTCAAATGTATTCATCTATGTAAAAATAGATTTAGAGTATTTTGTATTTATTTCATAAGTTTCATACACAAACAACCGTTAAAAATGGCTCGGTTATTGACCCATCATCACTTGAACTCTTGATTTTTAGCTTTGAACCCGCGAGACCTTATCTTCGCATCTCAGAGGGATGCAGAGATAACAAATTCTTATCCTTGCATCTCAGAGGAGTGCGAGATAGAAATATCCCTGCACTGTAGACCCAATGGCAAATAAACCTCAACTAGAAAGATATCCGAAATATGGCGTGTGCTCTCTGCTGACGACGCTATAAGAGAATGGCTTCATGATGTGTTAAGTTTACTAACCTACCGCTTCTCAGATTGCGTTCAATAAATGGACTTTTTATTGTTTCGAATTTCTTTTAAGAGAGTTTAGCGTTGTGAGGAAAATCATCATGATGATTATGAACATATTTGATTGACCGAATCCTCAATATAATCTGAATAAAATGACAATTTAGCCAAATTCGGGTATATTTGATCACAGATCTTTGTCATTTTATTCAGATTATATTGAGGATTCGGTCAATCAAATATGTTTCGAATTTCGTTGGAGTGGTTTACTCGTGGGTACAGTGTTTTCATCGTGGACGTGATCTACGCTGGTAGTCTCACTCAGAGACCCGAGGCCTTTCTGGTGGGTCTGAAGGGACAGGCCGCCAGATAATTTTGACGCACTCGAGTTAAAACGTGAATTCGCCGTTTTACCAACAGGATACAAGCCATAAGCCACTCACACTGCGTAGCCTCATCTGCATTCACGGGAAATCCGCATACACTGCATTCATCTTTCAACGATAGACCATGCATTAATGCTGGATCTTTCCCTGAAGCTAAAACTCTTCTAAAACCCCTGAAGCTAAAGCAGCTAAAAGATGACTCGTTGAAGGTCCAATATTTAGTAATGAAATTAAAGTCATTCAAATAAGCATAACGATTCAATGAAGTTTGATAAAATGATGTACATGCATCCTAACATTACATTGGGCCACACCAGTGGGCAGTAATCGCCACGCCATGTGTGAATCGCCCACGATCGTAAATACAATACAATACAATCCAATACCAGCAGCTTTGCAATTCGGATTGAAATTTTCCAAATGTCCTGGATATTTATTCGCTGTTCATTTACTTTATGTCCAGTTTTGTCACCTGAAAACGTCGCCCTCTCAGAAGCCGATGTCAGATGGGCGATTCTGTGCCATTTGGCGCTGCCGGCGACAGGCAGGGCCAGGTGCGTGCTTTTGGGTCAACCCGTCCAGATAAAACCCGATGGCCTTGGAGCAGACAGGTGACAGCGAGCCGGATAAATCACCACCACCGCTGTCACAAACTGCGCCAAAACCCTCTCCTTCTCTCCAAGAGTGTAGTTTTCCGCAATTCTCAGCGATAGCGAAAAAAGAGTTGACCTGATGACCCGTTTACCGACTCGAGCGTGGTTCTTTTTTGTTGTGGGATAAGAAACAGGTCTGTGCTACGTTTGGCCAGGTGCCACTATGTGCGCTCTGCTTCCGTGGAGTGACAGTTATAGCCTTAGAACCAAGTGCAACTAAAATCAGGCTTGTAGGTCCAAGAGGCATTGGGTACATTTGCTCCTCCTTCAGCGTCAATTTAAGAAATTGAGCCGTTTTCCTTGTTTAGGTAGAAGACTTTTTGTAATGAGAGGAAACATTTTATAATTGAGACAAAATGTTTCCTCTCAATTACAAATCAACACACAAGGAATCATAATTTGACATAACCTGTTAAATATGGTGGCACTAAAACGGGGCTAAAATTTCGTTTTGAGAATTTTCAACGGGACGGGCAGCCAATCTGTTCTACCGCCCGAGAAAACGTTGTGTGTAAAATATTTTTGGAAAATATGTTTATTTAGAGGTAGCTCAGCCAGGTCGAAGTTCACATTATTGTGGAAAAACACAACTTTGCCGAAATTTTAATTTCCACGTGTATTTCTGATGTTCAAAATGACATTGGACGTTGCCAAGACTTAATCGAAACGTTTCAGCACCTAAAGCTCAGATATATAGGTACATATGAGGTACATAATTCTTTTGAAGGTACGCATAACTTACTGCATAACTCCATGAAAACAGAAAGCGGTATCATCCGTAATCAGCCAACACTTGTACACATCATTCGTCGGCTAGTCTTGCCTACTTAGAAGTTACGATCGCCTTGCGTATGTCAGAATGCTTGCGTCTTTGCTCCTCGACGACCTACAAGAGGAGCTGCTGTTAGTCTTTATCCTTCGTGGGGGTCAGATCGATTTCCTGGCCATCAACAAAATGCCTCGCTCCGCGAAATCGTAGAGGCGTGAAGAGACCTCATGTAGCGCATGGCGGCGTTGTATAATGGCTTGACCTCCCAAAGAATCGGATCCTTCAAGAGGAAGTCGGTGTCCATACCGAGGATGCTGAAGAAGCTTGTGAAGCCAGTTGCGATATGACGAAGTCTGCCGTGGACTTGCTAGAGACTGAAGCTATAGTAAGTTCAACGTACGCTCGCCGGGTTGAGGGGTCCTCCGTCCTCTCCTTCTCTCGTAACGATGCAGCCATCTCACGTTTAGTAGCACCGATCGTAATCTCCTTCATTAGAAGTTGAGGGCGACCAGCCTCTCATTTAGATACCAGAGGTGACAGCTCAAGGCAATGGCTGTCGCCTTGGACACCAATTCGAACACCAATTCGTCCAATTCGTACTCCAGGAGGGACTTGAGGAAGTCGAGATCTTGCGCCGGTGCAGATGCCAGAAGCGGTGCATTGAATCGAGCCGGAAACTACGTTGTTACCACAAAGGTCACGATTCGCTGGAGGCTCTTCTTAAAGACGTAGTGAGCCGGGATTGTGCTCGGAAGAGACAAAGCTTCATAGCGTAAATGGCATAGGTCAACCAGCACACACAGAGCATATCGGGACGAGTGATCTTCATACCTCGTTTCGGAGCACTACTGAGGACAGTGATGGGCAGCTCCAGCATCTCACGGTTGTCGCGTAAGTGCTGGCGGTCAAGGATAAACGACCGAACTGTGCAAGAGCATCACGCGGGTTGTGGAGGTAGGATATGTCACAGTTTTTGAAGGTTTATGGCTTCGTTCCATCTAGACGCCCACTTTTTATGGAAGCGCTTAAACAAAACAACGTCCGGGCCGCTGGACGGGCCGAGGCAGGCTGAAAATGTCTTTATAGAACAAACTCGTAAATGTCGTGGCAAGTCAGGTGGAGCAAGTCCTCCTCGAGCCGATGCTAGATGATCGTGCAGGCTCCCGCATTGAGGCCGGTGTTCGATGCACTTGTGTCAAAACAGCGCTTTCACTCAATCCTTCAACTCTCACTCATCGAGGGATTCTAGAACAGCGTTTGCTGCGGCCTGTCAATTTGAGCCTGGCCAGCGAAAAATGCTCTGAAATGGCATAGCAAAACACAACTTATCTTTTTCACGTGCACGTCTTCTCCCTGACATCACGAAGACACGGAGACCTGCCCTGTGGCCGTACACTGGCAGTGTCCCCCTGCGCATCAGTGACCGGGGATACATGAGCAGAGTAAAGGCGTATTACAAACGGATCACAGTACTCAGCGAAGAAAAACCATTCCTGATACGCATTTATTTGCTCATATAACCCTGGTAAGTGCTAGCAGTCTCGTGACCCTTCCCAACCATCGTAATACGAGAGAAGAGCTGAAGTTGCACGCCTGGCAGCGGGCTACCGTCACCGAACAAAGTAAGCTAAACTACGCTGAACGGTCATTGGTTGAATCACGCATTGCGTCACAGCGCGTGTGCGGCGAGAAACACTGTGGTTATGGAACAAATAGGAAGGCATCATTCATTTAAACGTGTTATGGCTCAAATATGACAATGCTTGGAAAGGCTCGACACGCATCTGAATCCCCGTTCAAAATTATACGTTTTATCAATATGTACCAAGTATGACCCCATTGAGCTACCTCTAAATATAAATATATTTTGATAAAATTTCATACAGATCATTTTTTCGTGAGGTAGAATATGCCTACCCGTCCCGGTCAAAATTAAAAAAGTCGAAATTAAGTGCCACCCTACTGTTAAAGCGTTTTGATAACTGCTAATGTGTGGGAGGATCAGGCCCCTCAGTCGTTTGGCCCCTGATTGAGCTAGAGCTTCACGAAAAGTGCGAGCGTATTGCTCGTGCCGGGAAGAGGCCGATGTTGCGTAGTTATATGGTCCAACTCTATTTACTGAGCCTGTCCCGTAGCTCAGTTGGTAGAGCGTTGGACTCCGCGTGGTAAGAGCACGCGTCCCGGTTACAAAAACCCGGGTTCGAAGCACGACGGGCGCTTGACGTTTATGAGCCTCCTGACAGATATGGCTGCGGTTGGTGGCAAGCCGTAGCCAGACGAAGTTAGTGAGGGGGCCAGCTGTGCGCGGCTATGTGCTCATGTTAAACTTTTGACTTCAAATTCTGTTATAGAACCGGAATTGCGCGATCGGAGGGTAGAGGGCAGGGTCACCACAACAAGCTTCGCTTAGCGTGGGCTCTGTCCTTGTGAATCATTCCAATCAAAAGATTTGTACTTAAGTTACAACAAACATAGCTTGTAGGTCACCGGCTGACTTCCACGTCATGTCAGTGACCCGAATATCAGTGAAACGCTTGTAAAAGTGTAGCCGTGCAGCCATCCAGGCCTGTCCCGACTCGCTCTCTCGCGCTGCTTGGAGCGAGCTCGACCCCCCCCCCCCCGCGCGGCCGCCCGCCGGTGACGTCACGGCCCCTCCGGCGAGGTCAGGTCAGGTCAGGTCGCCGCCCTGCGCCGGAGCTAACCGGCGTGGTTCAGAGATGGACGGGGGTTGGTAGGAGCATGCTGCACTTCTGATGCGTGACATTATGAGTGACAGTTACAGACCAGCAGACTACGATCTACAAAGTACACAGGTAAGGAATTTGGGAGTGTCTCAGTTAAGTACTTCGGATGTATGTCAGGTAAGAAATTTTCGAGCATAGTTCAATGCTCTATTTAAGATTGGAACAACTTTTTGTATTATTGATGCAGGTGTCAAAGTTTCTTGCTAAAGATCTTTCTCACGTTTTCAGAAGCAGCTTGGAGCAAAAGAAGAAGCAGCCAACACCTTCGACTGGTAAGTTCAGCTATCTTCATGTGATGCTTATCCAGTGCGATAGCATATTGATAGCTAGCGCATTACACATGCTTACATTTTGACCCTAGTCTATTTAAATATAGGCACTTGCACCATTTGCATATGAAGTATACCACTAGCACTAAACCGATAAAAATCTTCATTATTGTTGCTTGATAGCAATTTTTTACCATTTAAGGGTGCAGACCAATGTGAATAGTCACTAGGCCGAAATTGCGGTCTGGCATCACTTTACCACCCCAGTCCAAGCTAATCGCTCTGATGTTGGCGCACATACCCGGGTATTTTGGTCATCGTTACGCCCATCCACATTAATTACCAGTAGCTGACCTCATGGGCCGCGTTATAAGCGTCTCGCAGCAGAGCGGGGGGAGGCGAGGGGGCGATAGACCCGTCAGAGACCGCCCTTGGCAATGGCAATGATCGGCGGATCGGCCACCGGGGGGGGGGGGGGGCAGGGGTGTGAGTGACGGGGGAGGGGGCGTCACCGACGGGCCCCCACCCCACGTGAGGGCGTGGGGTCAGCCAACATCCACATGAGCGCAGATGGGGGCGGGGAGGGAGGTGGGGAGGGGAGGGACAGACGAGACAGACGTGTTGCGTCACAACCGGTCAGGTCGGGTCAGGCCAATGACCCGGATAAATGGATTGGGACGAGCTGCTCCCACAGGCAAGCAAGCAAGCAAGGCAAGCAGGCATTTGAAACAGAAGCAAAATTCAGGAAAGTAAAAGGGGTGTGAAAATTCTCTCGTGTGCTGCCTTTTGCGCAATATTTGTATTGAACTTGTGTCAACGTGCGAGGTTGAAATGAATCTAGTTTCAGCTTTTTCATTTTCGGTGGGGCAGGATATTATAAACTGCAGACATACCTACATGCTTCTGAGCTTTCATTTGATTCAGTGTTTATTCTGTCACTGACAACATTTCATTTCTATAGAAAGTTGATTGCACATTTTTGCTCTATTTTTTCGATAATAATATGTTTGCGATTTATTCATTTTTATCTATTTTATTAATCAAAATTAATGTTACGGGCAGATTTGTATGTACTTTCATAAAACACGATGTTACGGACAGATTTATATTACCCAGCTTCCATCACTATCTCTTCTGTTTTCCGCCCCACAGCTCCCAGACATTACCGTCTCTGTCTGCCACATCGGGTCACCGACCCGATCGCTGGCGGGAACAAAGTCGGGGGGGGGGGGGGTCGTCTGCGGGGAGGGAGGGGAGGAGACGAGGTGGCTGGCTGGCGGGCGGGGAAGGCATCGGGGAGGGGTAGGGGAGGACACTGTCCCGGGGCCAGGAAGGGATGCAGGGGCTGTGGAGAGGGGGGCAGTTGTTACAAAGCCGCGAGTTCAGTGCTGACAGCGAGGAAGCTCCTTAGCGAGCCTGAGATGCCGTTTGTGAACACGACATCAGGACTAATTCAACACCAGATCGGTTCTTGGGAGGTGGTTACTAAGCTTAACCCGCGCCCGGCTGGGGGTCCTGGATTTCCACGCCCTGCTGGGGGGGGGGGGGGGTGTTTGAACACCCCCCCCCCTTCTAACTCGGCTCCTGGGCCACGTAGCGATACGCGGAAGGCGGCGTTCGAAAGAGCGTCAACAATAATGAGGAAATCACTTCGGTCAATTTTTTGGTCAGGTCAAAGGTCAGGTCACCAGAGGTCATTGATGGCAAAATTTCGCCGATTTCCAGGTCGAATGTCGAAAATTTCCAAGAAGCCAACGCATAACACGGGAACCAATAGAGCTATAGCGCCGCGGAAAAGCGCATTCGATAGCCCTATTAACGCCCTTTCTGATTAACCCGCGCCCTGCTGGGGGGGGGGGGGTGTTTGAACACCCCCCCCTTGTGGTTTTTCGCGAATATCTCAAAAACGGCGGCGCGGAGCGCCGCCGTTTTTGGTACACCTTATCATACATCAATTCTACACATGTTGTGAAACTTTCAGACCAAGGTCATTCAAGGTCAGGTCACCAGGTCACTTGAAGTGACCTCACCTCATAAAAAGTTTCAATGTCTGTCATAGCTACACCAAGTGACCGATTGCTTTGAAACTTTCAGCGATTGCTAAGAGCAATAGCATGTACAAAATGTATATCTCAGAATTTTGATATCGATGACCTAAGGTCAGGTCAATTTTGCGACCTCCCCATTATAAGTCAATGGGAGAAAATTGAAATGCGCCTCTTTTGGACGAAAGACATTATAAACACTCCCAAACACCGAATTACAAGTGGTTTAGACACATTGAACATGAAAATGGTGTCCGTGACCCTTGTTTGTGCCCTGAGGTCATCTTAGGTCACGAATGGTATCTAACAGTTTTTCGCAAATAACTTTTGATAGAGGCATGCTACAGCGATGAAAACGCCTTATATGTGTTCAGCTCGACGATACGGATCGACTGATATGCAACATGACCCTTTCCGGTCAGGTCATGACCTTGACCTGAGGTCAAATTTTCAAGTTGACCTTTCAAGGTCAAGTTATAGTTCATTCGATGCGTCTTGACGAGAGGAACACGATGCCGGTAAAAGTAAGCTCGTACAAGGCTTGGGTCAAAAGTTACTGCAGAAAAACGGTTTCCGAAAAAAAATCGGCTATTTTTGCAGTTTTTGCCCCCTGCAGGCAAAACCGTTGACGTTAGGTCAAATCTGAGAGAATTACTCAGAAAGGGCGTTAATAGGGCTATCGAATGCACTTTTCCCCGGCGCTGTAGCTCTATTGGTTCCCGAGTTATGCGCTAGCTTCTTGGAAATTTTCGACATTCGACCTGGAAATCGGCGAAATTTTGCCTTCAATGACCTCTGGTGACCTGACCTTTGACCTGACCAAAAAATTGACCGAAGTGATTTCGTCATTATTTTTTACGCTCTTTCGAACGCCGCCTTCCGCGTATCGCTACGTGGCCCAGGAGCCGAGTTACAAGGGGGGGTGTTCAAACACCCCCCCCCCCAGCAGGGCGTGGAAATCCAGGACCCCCAGCGGGGCGCGGGTTAATCCTCTCAGATTTGACCTAACGTCAACGGTTTTGCCTGCAGGGGGCAAAAACTACAAAAATAGCCGATTTTTTTTCGGAAACAGTTTTTCTGCAATAACTTTTGATCCAAGCCTTGTACGAGCTTACTTTTACCGGCATCGTGTTCCTCTCGTCAAGACGTATCGAATGAACTATAATTTGACCTTGAAAGGTCAACTTGAAAATTTGACCTCAGGTCAAGGTCATGACCTGACCTGAAAGGGTCATGTTGCATATCAGTCGATCTGTATCGTCGAGCTGAACACATCTAAGGCGTTTTCATCGCTCTAGCATGCCTCTATCAAAAGTTATTTGCGAAAAACTGTTAGATACTATTCGTGACCTAAGATGACCTCAGGGCATAAACAGGGGTCACGGACACCATTTTCATGTTCAGTGTGTCTAAACCACTTGCCTAATTCAGTGTTTGGGAGTGTTTATAATGTCTTTCGTCCAAAAGAGGCGCATTTCAATTTTCTCCCATTGACTTATAATGAGGAGGTCGCAAAATTGACCTTACCTTAGGTCATCGATATCAAAATTCTGAGATATAAATTTTGTACATGCTATTGCTCTTAGAAATCGCTGAAAGTTTCAAAGCGATCGGTCACTCGGTGTAGCTATGACAGACATTGAAACTTTTTATGAGGTGAGGTCACTTCAAGTGACCTGGTGACCTGACCTTGAATGACCTTGGTCTGAAATTTTCACAACATGTGTAGAATTGATGTATGATAAGATGTACCAAAAACGGCGGCGCTCCGCGCCGCCGTTTTTTGAGATATTCGCGAAAAACCACAAGGGGGGTGTTCAAACACCCCCCAGCAGGGCGCGGGTTAAACGAGCGCCAGGTCACTTCTTGGGAGAAAGGCCTGATCCGGCCAGAGGTGTCATGCTCCAGAAAGATAATCAAGTTGGAGAAGTGTGACCAAATCTGATTTGTGCGGAGAAGCTGTAACTCAGTGATAATGACACATTATATTTCTTTGGTCATGGTTTGACTCAAATAAATATTCTATCTCCTTAAATTCATTTGATTTACAAGAGATTTACAAGAGATACAAGATTTACAAGAAAGTCAGCAAAATTACTAATCGAATCAAATCAGGACTAACCCCGCACATTTAATTAAACAAAAAATTTGATGCCAGAGGTCAATCGATTTGACGTCGATTCGATTTATTGCAATGGTAAATGCATACCTGTCTTAGACGTTAATGTGATCAATTGACCTGAATAGTTGAATCTTTTCAAACCTCTTCTCTGCAGAGATGTGTAGAGACGACTAATAAATTTCTGTCAGTGTCACCTCTCGGAATCTGACCCCCTGTGACAGTGGCGGCTGTTATATAACATTCATGGGAGGGGTGAAATTCACCCCTGATAGATCGGTTCTATTTTCGAGGATAGTTAACAGGCTGTTTGCCGCGTGGAGAGTGTATCACCGGCCTTGCTAGAAAAATGGCAAAACCACATTGCAAAAAAAAACCTGTAGAACTGAATTGTTGTACGATTCCTTTTTTTAAGAACGACCTTTGCATGGTTACTGGCTGCTCAAAAGCACTGAGCCACTAAGCATATCATAAAGGACAGGAGGCAGTGAGGCACCCGTGTTTTGATTTTCAAATTATTAATCTCATTTACATTCATGCTGCTCGTAGTGACACTGTGCCTGGGATATTTATATATTTTCATAAAATGACTACAATCTGCCTTATATTTCCCCAGCTGGGCTGCTGAAATATTGCGATGCTGCTTGAACCAGCGCATATGTAGAGTCTACGACTCGCTCACATGTTTTCTCTGTCCCATGCCGCCTCCGTATGACCCTGTGTGACCTCTGACAGGTCAACCGAAGCCAGTCCGTCGCCACTCATCCGGTCCCGTTCCAGTGGACTCGGCAGGTGACCCGATACCATCCATGAGGAGCGTGCAGCTCTCAGAGGAGGACAGACAGCTGATGGCAGCCTTCAGACAGAGTGGTAAGTCCATGAAACTTCGAAGTTCGAAGGGTACCGTAAAGACTGGTTGACACTAAAAATAAAAATAAGAAAGAAAAACCTGCTATATGCTAAGCAGAACGCAGCATCTGGCGCACCCTAGCCCTGGTTATGTGTTTAACATAAATCAAACACGCACGTCGACAATAACAATCATATATTGACTGCCTAACCGGTCGCCCGTGTGGAGCTCAGCTGACTGCTGACCCCTGCTACTGGCTGGGAGAGCTGCACGCGCGGTACTCGGAGCGGCCGGCTCCCGCAGCCCTCTCCGTCCGCGTGCACTGGCAGCCGGTTCGTGTCTGGGACTTGACAACTGGTGACAGGTATACTGCCCAGTGCCCGCCCGTCCATGACTGTGGAGCCGGTTCTGCCTGACCTTGACCCGTTCTGTGTCGCACTGGTCACGATTGTGGGGATGGCGATGTGTGCGTGGGCCAGTGGGGGGAGGGGGGTGGGGTGAGTGTTGACAGTTGACTACCGATGAGGATTTACCGGCTGCGGGGTTGGCGGGAGGGAGGGGCTAGTTGCGATCGTCTGTGCCGGTTGATTATTGGGTGCAATTAGTTGTTTAGAAGAGACTGGAACTTATGCTATCGTATAACTGGACTCGGGTGACCGGCTCGCAGTCTGCGCTGGTCTCCCCAGTGTCGACTGGTAAAGTGTATGGCACGTATGTAGTTCCTGATAATTATATTTTCGTTGTGCCCTCAGTCATAGTTGCGTTCATTTGGTTAATGTTCATTCTGATTTTCTTGCCTGTGTTCTGCTGTTTTGTTTTGGTGTTTTGGTGTCTCTCGCCGCCGCCACCGGCCGCTCATCGGATGTTTCTCTGTTGCAGCCGCCCGCGTTCCTCTCCGGGGATAACAGTTTGTCAAGGTATTCATCAATTCAACATCCGAGTCGCACACCAACCGTCGCTGCTGCTTGGGAGAGCTGCCTCTTTCTCCGGCACACACCGCTCGCCATTTGATCTGGAGCCCATGGACTGTGAGCCCCCTGCTGCTGGTAAACGTCCTCAACTGAACACTTGGGCATTCATCCGCTACCACACGTGCATTGCATCTAACAGACATTGGACTAGACTTGGGTCATTTATAGATTTAAAGTACATATTAATGATAAGTGGCATAGAATCCAATCCTGGACCCCCTCAAGCTTCCTACCCACAGCAAACTCTTTTTATTTCACATGTAAACATAAACAGCATAACCGCGCACGACAAACTTGACGAACTTCAACAATTTGTCGACACACAAGGTATACACATACTAGCACTTACAGAGACAAAACTAAGCAATGACGTAGCGACCTGCCTTTACAAATTAAATGGATATCACACACCACTTACACGGCACAGGGATAGGCACGGCGGCGGAGTTGCTATTTATATACACAAATCACTACCATTTCAAAGACAGAGCTGGCTGGAAGCGAACGATGAAGAATGGGTGTGGGTGAAAGTCAAACTGAGGGATAAATCATTACTAGTTTGTTGTATATACTTGCCACCGAATTTGACCGCTGACAGATTACGATCATTTTCAAGCAACTTCACTGAATCGATATGCCAAGCTAGTTCTATAAATGCGGCAGAGACCTTTATCTTAGGGGATTTCAACACAGGTAATATCTTTCTTGATTCAAAATTCATCAATCACAGTGGCGTTACACCCTTCGACCAAACATTCAAAGACGTGGCAGACATGACAAATCTAAGACAATTGATCACCGAACCTACCAGAATAATGGACAGACGGGAAAATTTGCGGGACTTAATCTTCACAAATAGTAATTCAATCATAAAAAGTGGCATATTATCGTCTTTCTCAAATCTCGATCACTTTCCAATATATGTAAGAATTGACACAGCACCACCATCCGTAGACAAAAAACCTTTACAAACACTTATCTGGGATTGCTCGAAATTAGATGCCCCACTTCTCACAAGACTCCTATTAGACACCGACTGGGAGGCAATCCTCAGTAATGACATTGACACGGCGACAAATTTGTTCATATCAACAATACAAAATGCTGCCAACGCCTCGATCCCGAAAAAGCACAAAACAATCTATCAACGAGAAAAACCATGGATGACCTCAGCACTAAAACAAAACATAAGAAAACGGAACAGACTTTTCAAGGTTGCAAAAACCACACAGACAACATTCAATTGGGACAGATGGAAGTACCAAAGAAACCTGGTTACATCATTAAACAGAAAGCTTAAAAACGAACACTTGCAAAATCAGCTGAATAAACTGTTGACTCATCAGCTAAACCCTCATAAATACCATTCAATACTACGCAGCACATTAGGACGAACTCGCGACGACGAAATTCCGCCACTAGAATCAGAACACGGAGAAATAGTAAACGACGACAAGGAAAAAGCAACACTGTTAAATAAATACTTTGTCACACAATCGACACTTGACATTCCCGACACACAGGAACCTCCACAATATGAGCCATCGAATGTCCCCAGGCCAACACTAGAAAACATAGTCACGTCAGAACAAGAAGTGCTGAAAATTTTGAACTCACTCAATGAAAACAAATCGACAGGCCCAGATGAAATCCCGGTAAAATTAATTAAACTTATCGCATTATTGATCGCCAAACCATTGGCAGACCTCTTCAATAAATCTCTAGTGGAAGGACGTTACCCAAGTAAATTTAAAGAAGCCAATATAAAGCCAATTTTCAAAAACAAGGGCACACCTTCAGACTATAAATGTTACCGGCCAATTAGCATACTTTCGGTTCTTTCTAAAGTGTTTGAAAAAAAAATCGTGCACAAAAACGTATATAAAAACATCACAGAAAACGCAATGCTATCAGACAAACAAAGCGGCTACAGACAACACCATAGCACTCAACATCAACTTCTTTACCTGACACATAACCTGTACAAAGCATTAGACCAAAAAGAAGACTTTACTGCAATATATCTTGACATATCAAAGTATTTCGATAAAATTTGGCATAAAGGACTACTTTTCAAATGTAAACATGAATTCGGTATCACAGGAACACTTTTGGAATGGTTTACATCATATTTAAAAGACAGGAAGCAACGCGTTAAGATAGGCAATACATTTTCGACCACTTCGACAATCAATTCCGGCTGCCCTCAGGGATCCGTTTTGGGGCCATTGCTTGCGCTCATGTATCTAAATCAATTATCAACTCAAACTCAACAAAACATATTACTTTTTGCAGATGATACCTCTATATACGCATCATACAAAAATGATAATTTTCAGGCAGCGCAACTTTCACTTCAAAACGACTTAAATAAGGTTTTCGAATATGGTAAAAAATGGGCAATAACTTTCAACACTACAAAAACGGTCCAGCAAACTTTCTCTCACAAATCCAATTACCAGCAACCCATCCTCAAATTTGGAGACGACCCTATCCCTGTCCACGATAGTCACACACACCTTGGAATAACCTTCTCAAAAGATCTCCGGTTCAAACAACACATTAAAATGATCTGTCGCAAGGTAAATGTTTCTCTTAGTCCCCTGTACCCGATTGCAAAATTCATACCAAGAACAATATTGGACCAAATATACAAAACCTACATACGACCGCACTTTGACTATTGCGACACGATTTACGATGGACACATTACTATACAGGACTCGACAAAATTAGAGACGCTACAGAATAGGGCTGCCAGACTTGTTACAGGAGGACTTTTTAGAACACCAAACGACAAACTCTTGGGAGAATTAGGATGGGACAGACTGACAACAAGACGACAGATACACAGACTGACACTCTACCACAAAATCAGCACAACAGAAAACCTTCCGGACTACATTGCAGCTTTACTTCCAAACACCAGAGCACAAGACACGGACAGAAGTCTCAGAAACGCAACTGCGCAGTGCGCACACCACATCTCCCATCCACACTTCATCCTATAAAAGATCATTTTTACCAACCACAACTAGACAATGGAACATATTAAGACATGACATCCAGCAACTCTCACACAACCACTTCAAAAAGGACATACGTCAGCAGCTGGGGGCTCCAGATCCACCGAAATTTTACAAAATTGGTTCCAAAGCAGGCAACACTCTCCACTCCAGGCTTCGTATGAATATTGAATATGTCTCACTTAAATGCCCATCTCTTCACAATTCAAAAAGTGGACTCACCAAAATGTGATTGCGGGAATGACAATGAAAACACCGATCATTTCATCTTCCATTGCTCAAAATTTACATCCGAACGTAACGATCTTTTTAACAATCTATCACAAACATTAAAAACAGACTTTAGACGACTCTCCGCAAAGCAGCAACATGACATTCTAATTTACGGCAGCGATCTCAACAGCAGTGACGGTATGGCAGTGGCCCTAAATTTTCAAAACTTCTTAATTGCATCAAAGAGATTCACTCCAGTGTAAATTTTTCACCTTTTTTCTTTTTTCACCTTTTTTTTACTATTTTCACCTTTCACCTTTTCCTCGGCCTGTAGCTTCTGTTTCGATCTCCGGAGAGGAACGGCGGGCGAGCGGCGACTTCAACTGCTGATGAGCTGTGCCGTGGCGGCGGCCGCAGCCGTGTTTACATTTGTTTATGAATTATGTATGACATTCAGACTAGGCGCTTTGAGTTAAGCTTTTGCTTTTGCGTCTGTCTTATATTTTGTACAAGTTCAGCCCGTATTTTTGTTTAATAAACTTGGTGATGATGATGATGATGATGATGACTAAGTGCTTAACCCGCGCCGGGCCGGTGCTCTGAGATTCCGCGCCGGGCCGCGGGGGGGGGGGTGTTTGAACACCCCCCTTTTAACTCGGCTCGTGGGCCACGTAGGGACACGCGGTAAGCGGCAATCGAAAGAACGTCAAAAATAAGGACGAAAACACTCAGTCATTTGTTGGGTCAGGTCAAAGGTCAGGTCACCAGAGGCCATCAAAGGTAAAATGTTGACTATTTCAACATTTTGAA